CGGCCCTGAGGCTTCCATTGTGGATCACTCCCAATGCGGTGACCGGAGCTCCGAAGATTCCGGCGAGATTAGTACTAAGAAGAGACCGGCTTTGAAAGATCGGAGAGGGAACGGGCCTCGTCGGCGCGTATGTGGGACAGCATCTGAAGGCGGTGGGAGAGAGGATCTCGAGGCTGGATATGCGGCGGAGGTTTCGCCAGTGGTCACCGTACAAGGCCCACGAGAGGCTGGTGAAGTTGTAGCCCAGGTGTTTGCCGGAAAGCAGACGAGGGCGATTCGCGAAGACGAGCGGCGAGCGGGGATGCGCAATTGGCTACTGGGTTGCTTCTGCGCGAGAGATGAGAGAGAGAGGAGAGAGCAGATAGCAGAGAAAGAGGAGCGGAGAGAGCAGAGGGAATGGGGCTCGCCGTAGGTGGAGAGGAGGAAGAAGAAGGCCATGGGTGTGAGGTTTTGATGGTATTTTTGTCTTTTAATTAAAAAAAATAAGGGACGTGATGTTCATATACGAGCATCTGTTAAAAATTTAATGAAAATGGTTAAACTGTCACTTTTAAAAAAAATTAAAGATAATTTTATTATAAAAAGAGATTATGAAAAACTCTCACTTTTTAAAAAGAGGAAGAAGAAGGCCATGGGTGTGAGGTTTTGATGGTATTTTTGTCTTTTAATTAAAAAAAATAAGGGACGTGATGTTCATATACGAGCATCTGTTAAAAATTTAATGAAAATGGTTAAACTGTCACTTTTAAAAAAAAATTAAAGATAATTTTATTATAAAAAGAGATTATGAAAAACTCTCACCTTTTAAAAATATTAGGGATTATTTATGTAAATTACTCAAAAAAAAATTACCAAGTTGATTGTTTCTCCATAAGAGCCTAATGGCAAAAAAAAAAAAATTAAGGTCCCGTTTTTTTCGCTGATTTAAGTTTTATTACAGTAAAAAGTTCTTAAAAACCAAAAAAAAAAAAAAATTAAGGTCCCATTTTTTTCGCTGATTCAAGTTTTATTACAGTAAAAAGTTCTTAAAAATAGTCACATTTAATTTTTTTGTTACAATAAAAAGTTTTCACATAACATCACATCTCAATTTGAATTAAAAACTCGAATTAACGAACCGAACGGGTTATAAAAGAAAACGAAAACAAAGATGGATAATGTGTGCATGCACGCTTGTCCAAAAATTCATAAATATGACCCATACAGGGTTATATTTGAATTTTTAGTGTCACCTAGTTATGCGTAAAACAATATGAGTGGTCGAGTCTGGGTCTATGAAAAATGATGAAGAAAAATTGATGAATTTAGGGCCCGTTTAGTTCGCTGATTCGAGTTTTTAATTCGAGTTGAGATGTGATTTTATGTGAGAGCTTTTTACTGTAGTAAAAAAGTTAGATGTGATTGTTTGTGAGAGCTTTTTACTGTAGCAAAACTCAAATTCTAAACTCGAATAAGCGAAATGAACAGGACCTTAGATTGCATAACTTTTAATTTTTATTCATTATTTTTTTATTGATATTTTTTTGATTAAAATTATTTAATTAAAAAAGATATTAAATAAGAATAAGAGATAAAAATTCAGACCTATACATCTAAAGAGTATATCTCTTTTTTCATGATGAATAGATATATTCATCCCGGTGGAGATTTATCCTTATTATTCACAAAAAGATAGGTCCTACCTACTCACCTAGTGAGACCTACCTTTTATGTAGTGAGATTATAACTCCATTGGAATAAATAGGGGTGCTCTTTTAGTATTTTAAAACTTCATGTCTAGTCAGTTTAAGCTATCGTCATTTTTTAGGCTTATTGTTATTGTTATTATTATTGTTGTTGTTGTTGTTAGACCACACGGACTAACAATCAACGTTTTGTACCCACAGAACGGATACTTCAATCCTGTTAAAACATAAACTAAAATTTATGCATGAAAGAAAATGCGGAATAATAAAGACACGTCAATATGATTATTTAACATGGCCAAAAACCCTTTAAGAAAAAAACCACATGTGTCAACAGCACAAAGAATGAATCCAATAACACCAAAACAGCTACAGAGCTTGGCTTTGCAAGAAACCTCTTGAATATAAACCAACTCCTAACTTGTAGTGATTCCTTCTAGACTCGTCTTCAACTCCTCGCCTTATTCCGAGTATCCTGCTCACCTTCAACCCTCCTAACCTACTCCAAGCAACACGATCAGTCTTCGGCTTCCCCCTTGGACCTACTCCTATCTATTCAAAGTCCGCAAACTACAAGGTTTTAAAAATACGAAAGGAAGCCTGTGATAAGCTCTGATTTTCTCTCACAATTAAGCACACATGAGAACACTCAATTTTTCTTCTCACAAAAATGAACGCTCAAATTTCTAATTCGTGCTCTCTACATATGAAGGTCTCAAGATGACCTCCCTAAATAATGATCCCGGATATGAGAGAGGTGTATACTCTCTCCACTTGATCAGGGTTGAGATATGATTACGATCTTCTTGATTGAATTACTTCATTGAATCCAGCTGTTACTGTGTGAACAAAATATTCGATCCTGTAACTGTCAAAACAAACTGGACAGACAACTCGTGATTTATTAACAAAAGTGGATTCAATCATAATCCGAATTGATAAAAAAAAAATCCTGAACGAAATGTCCAGATAAACGCAATCAAAGAATGAAGTGATCCTTAATGAACCTAGACTCAATTATGCACAAGGATCAAAAACACAAATACCGAAATCGCAAAAGTTAGGCAAAAATAGATGAGATAAATTTGTGATCAGCAAATCAAAAATATCATTTTATAAAAACGACAAACTTATCTTGCAAATAATCCAAAGCCCAAAAATCAACCTGTGTTGACAGCCAATAAAATCTGCAAGTATCCAATCAAATTGAGCTATTTATAAAAACAAATCATGGGAAAATCAATCAACAAAATAAGGAATATAAAAAGAGCAACGCATTATTGAATTGATTTGATACAAGGATAACAATAAAAATACACAAATCCCATGTCAATCACAAATACCACATAGGAAGATTTGTGCCACAATCTCCTCTTTTGGCATCGTTGGTATCAAAAGCATTTAATTCATAAAAAACCTGCAATGACAAAGTGTTAGTCCCAAAAAGTTATCATCCATGCTTAATGGACAACACAATAATTTCTTCCCCTTTCATAACAAAAATTACTCCCCCAAAATTTTCATCTGAAATTACTCCCCATTAATTTCTCCCCCTTTTTGATCCAAGGAGGTCAAAGTATGCAGAAAAACATGTCTAAAAATAATAAACCATGTCGAAGAATATTAAGTACAGACCCAAATGAAAATGCTAGAAGTCTCAAATAAAGCTACGAAAGCATCAAAGTGAACGAAGGCATAAGATAAGGAAAAGTGATCATTTCTTGCGAGTGGACTTCCGAGTTGGTGAAACAGTTGTGCCCTTATATCCTTTCTTTGCAGTGGCTGGAGTAGAAGGAGTCACTGTTGGAACATTTGCTTGAGAAGGTCCTTCTGTTGGGGCAGCTGCTGGAGATGTTGTACCTGTCTTGACAAGAGCAAACTTTCTTACCTCGTCTAAACCAGATTCAGTTTCTTCCTCTTCAGAACTCGAACTCTCATCTTCTTCTTGTTTCTCTTTAGCAGGCTGGGTCTGTGGAGACTGAGGAACTTCTTCCTTCTTTTCTGAAGATTTTTCAGAAGTTTCTTCTTCCTTATCCTCAGACTCAGAACTCTCCTTCACTTGACAATTCCTCTTCTGAGGATGATTCCTGCTTCTTTGATGGACCTGTTGATTGCTGCGGAGTCGGAGTACTAGCCTTTGCATTCAGGTAGTTGATCACAACAGTGTGCATGAGATCCACAGACTCCTTCAAAGCAGCATTAAATTCCTTAACCTGTGCAATTCAGAAACAAGTTGAGAGAGATTACCATTAATGGTATTCAGGAGCTGTTGGTTGACTTGATCCATGCATCTCAACGCATCAAGAAGTTCCTTCTGATATTTTGTATCTTCTTTCTGCTACTTCTGATATTAGGTATGCAGAAGATCAACTTTCTGCATCAACTGTTTGAACAGTGCTAGATCAATAGCAGGTACAGGTGGTAGTTCAGATGTCTCACCCTAAGTAGATGTTGTTACTTCAAATTCTAAAGTTTTGAGATTTGCAGAGGACAAAGTAGGACCGATCAAGACTCGACCCTCATAGCTCCGAATAGGAATACCTTGATCAATGGCCATGCTATGAATCAGACAGGGGAATGGCAGAATCCTCTTGTCAACTCCTTTCCTGGTTCCTTCAGTGATAATTCTTTGAGAGATGAAATCCCCCAAATTTATCTTCACACCGGTTCCAACCCAATACATAAATTTGGCTCTTTCCCAAGAAATAATAGAGCATGATTGACAGGGTCCCAATTATTCATGGTGATCTTGTGAATCAACTTATACTTAGGATACAAATAGGCTTTGGAAAACGACTTTTTAGGCCAAGGATAGTTTTTGCCAATAAGTTCTGTTGCAACAGTGTTACGACTGGGTGCACTGTCTAGACTGTGGAACGGTCCAGCATTACTAATTCCCAAGAAACGATTAATTCTTTCACCAGAAATATCAAGAACCCCGACTTGTTCATTTCACCGATTTGAGTTTTTAATTTTAAATTTTTACATTTTAAAGTTATTAAAAAATGTCACATCTAACTTTTTTATTACAGTTAAAAACTCTAAAAAAATGTCACATCTCAACTCAAATTCGTCTAATTCCCAAGAAACGATTAATTCTTTCACCAGAAATATCAAGAACCCCCGACTTATTCATTTCACCGATTTGAGTTTTTAATTTTAAATTTTTACATTTTAAAATTATTAGAAAATGTCACATCTAACTTTTTTATTACAGTTAAAAACTCTAAAAAAATGTCACATCTCAACTCAAATTCGCGAGTGAATTAGGCCAGCGTTCATGGGGTCGGCTATATTCTGGGTCATGTTGTTATAGAACTTTCTCACCAAATTAAGAGATGGGTTTGGATTTAGGTTTAGGTTTACAGTTTTCTCCCAACTTTATTTCTCCAGTAAATCACCTAACCCATATTCCTCAAAGTCATCAACTTTCACAACAATTTCAGGCAACAGAGTCCTTTCACTGATTTTTCCCTCAAATACAGATAAAAATCAAAGGGTTTCAGAACCACTTTACCACTTTTCAACGCTAACTCCAGGATTTCTTCTTTGAATTCAGAATTAGCTACCTCCTTCTTGGGCTTCATGTTCCTATTCAACTTTTTCCCTTCACCGGATTTAGGTTTCTTGAACCCAGAAGTTTTGGAACCTTTCCCTTTGACTGGTGTCACTTTATCAATCTCAGCACCAGCGATTGTTGCTATTTCGGTCTCCACAAGTCCGACCATGGTGCTCGCGACTTCTTGCTCAGTTGGGTTCGCCTTGGAATTAATTGAACCACCAGCAGCAAATGTAGCAGAGACGGGGGTCTTCTTCGATCCCTTAGGAGCCATTAAGAACCTGCGATTGAGAACAAAGAGAAGAGATTTCTTGAGAAAGAGAGAGTTAAGGCATGAGAGAACTCCGAGAGAGAGAGAGAATGATCGGGAAAGTGAGGAGATTAGGGTTTTGATTCCCTTTTATAAAATTTGAAAATTAAAGCTTTCCTTAAGTGCAACCAGCTGAATGGCCGAAAAATCTGCACACTGATCAGGTAAGTGATGACATAGAGAATACGAAATTGTGATGACAACAAAGAGTTTTATTAGTTTGTGCAAACATCCGCAGGAGTTATTGATTGATCTAACAGAAATGAACTCAGAGATCTGTACAAATACTTCATGCCCAATTTCAAAGTTAGACCACTGAACAACACCCAAGAATCAAATGCATTTTTTTAGATTTATATAAACTATTCCTCATGCACAGAAACGCATCACCTTTCATTCAGCCTGAACAAGCACAAGTATATGTTTAAGAAGTACATGAAAACAATGACAATGCTCACAGATTGGAAAATCACCTTTCAGTTTTAAGAGCAAATACACACCTTGATATTTCAAACCTAACTTCATTCCTAACCAGTCAGAATGTCTCGC